TGCTAATCTTGCCACAGTCCGATTAACAATTGATTTTATGTTAAGAAGATTAAAAGAATCCAATGGTAAGAACAGCATAACACACATTATGAACAGAAACATTCAACTGAAAATAACGAAATACTACAGGAAATGCACTAGCATTAACACTGGAAGAGAGCTACATAAAATAGTAGAATATGCAAAATGTTTAATTTTGCCAAGTTGCAAAGATAAATTTGCTGATCTTAAAAAAGAATTTTTATGGTTTTCAAAAACTAAAAAACAAACTGTATGTTTAAAAATATTGTCAAGCGTTAATGACGATAAAACCATCATCAACAAATTCCGAACGAACATTTTGTGTAGCATTTAACTTCTGTATAAGAATTCGTTGTAGATATCGGACATTCGTTGTAGATATTGGACATTCGTTGTAGATATCGGACATTCGTTGTAGATATCGGACAATTTATAGAGTGCATTAGTTTTTTTTAAAGTTTTAATTTAAGTAAAAAATAATTGTTCCGGTATGTACTAAACACTTATAAGTACTTTAATTTAGTTTATTTTTGCTAGTACATTTATATGCAATTTATTATAAATTATAAATTATGTATAATATAGTATAATAAAAAAAAGGTGAATGTCAAGTTTATTTAGTAGTTTAATATCATAAAAAAAGTATAGAATAGTATATGAAAATAATAATAATAATATTTGCATTAGACATTGAAGCTGCAAGAATTAGGCGCGCAAAAACTACCGGAAAAATAAAAGCATACACGACTTTGACAAAACAAACTACATAGACAATTAAGGAGAAGAAATAAAAATGTAAGCCTTTGTATGAAAAAAGTGGAAATATTATTCTTGTGGTGAATGCTAAGCTAGTTATAAAATAATATCTGGTGCAAGGAAAACTAAGGAACCGCTACAATGTGTTTCATATGAGAAGTAATTTCATAAGAACTGTGCCAAAGAAAATGGAGTTGAAGATAGTAATGATGTATTTTCATGCAGCGACTTCATTAAATAACTCTATAGTGTTAAACCGCTAACTTGATGGTGCTTTTTTAAACAAAAACCAAAGTTTTTTTTATACTGATTTTTTTATCCTAATTTGTGTTGCAAGCTTGTTATGGCTGGGTAGTTTTAGTAAGCTGTTATAATCTATTATGTAATCTGTTTTTTCCTTATGGTGTTATGTTGTTCTAAAATATGTTATTTATCATTGTGTCTATTTGTTTACGTTATTTAAACAAATTTAAATAATTTAATTTGGAAATATATAAGGAAGGTATGGGTATTAAGGCCCACCTAACAGACTTTTGGTCTTTAAAAGTTAAGTTTAAAAAAATAATTTCAATCGCTGCTTAAGATTAATCCTAATGTAAAAATGTTATCTGCATATTGAGGAAATAGTTATTACAAAAGTTATTCATGTTTTTGTAACATGCCTTAAGTGGACCTTATTACCCTCCTAGGCGGGTAATAAGGCATTAATCTTCACAGAATGGACATACTAACTCTTCCTCATCTTCAGAATCATACCCCATGGACGCCTCATGGTACCATACTTTACATTTACAACATTGTCGCATACTTTCTACAGACTTTTGCTGGCACAACAAACAAAATCAATAATTCACATCCACACTTACAGACTTACTTTTCTTTATAATTGGTTTTCCTTTGACCTTATTCTTTTTATTAACAGCTTTAGAAGTGGAAGATTGAGAATAATCTTTTGTCAGGTCTTTAGAAACATTTGCTTTTCCTTTGACCTTATTCTTTTTATTAACAGCTTTAGAAGTAGAAGATTGAAAATCTTCTTTTGTCAGGGCTTTAGCAACATAGTTAAAACTTTTTTTGCGACCAACCATAGCCATATTTTTCTTTTTAGCAGGACTCGGCATTAAATCATTGAAACTTGCATTAAGAATGTGAATTATTGATTTTGTTTGTTGTGCCAGCAAAAGTCTGTAGAAAGTATGCGACAATGTTGTAAATGTAAAGTATGGTACCATGAGGCGTCCATGGGGTATGATTCTGAAGATGAGGAAGAGTTAGTATGTCCATTCTGTGAAGATTAATGCCTTATTACCCGCCTAGGAGGGTAATAAGGTCCACTTAAGGCATGTTACAAAAACATGAGTTTCAGGTTGATTGACTGAAACTGTTGAGGGACTGGGTTGGATGATTGAAGCTGATGAGGGACCTGGTCAAACGACTGAATCTCCTAAAGGACCGTGTTGGATGACTGGAATTGTTGAAGGTCCTGGTTGGACAACTGGAGTTGTTGAAAGACCAGATTCAGTAAGGCACGTGTTAAAAGATGCATCATCAATTTCTGTCAATTTACTTGGCAAAAAAGCAGTATCTGGAATGGCATTTGGGTTAAAAGGATAAATCCCTGTAGCCCTGAAACCACTTGTAATATTCCCAATTGACATGCACTTGTTCCATGCTGGTGTAAAAGGTTTTTCTAAATAGAGATTTGTTTATTCTTCTATCTGGATGTGTCCTTTAATATTTCATGACTTCTTCATCCCAATAGGACTCGAAAGCTTTAAAGACTTTGTCCATGGGCTGCAGTTCATGGGTAGTATTGCTTGGTAAACAAAAAATGTGAATCCTAAAGCTTTCCGCCTTTTCAACTATTCTAATATTAATATGGGAAGCAGCACCATCAATAAATAACAGAGTCTCTTCACTTGTTTTATATTTATTGAAGTGGTCAAGTCATAAAATAAAGGATTCGATGGTCATCGACCCCTTCTCCGTCATAATTTAGTTATACCTGGAGGAAAATCGTCACTGAATTCACTCTTCAGGCGAATACCTTTGAAAAGCACCATTGGAGGTATAGCACATCCCATAGCATTGGCACAGTTAACCACAGTCACATTTTCTGCATGTTCCTGAGCAACTAGATGAACTCTCTTCGCTCCCTGTTGTGCTAAAACAGCTTGTTGGTGATGAACTGTAAGTCTGACTCCTTTTTCATCCATTTTGTAGAGGCTTTCTGGAGAATTAAAAAAGCCATTCAATAACATTAGTTTATCTAATTTGGTGAAATAGTCCTTAACAATAAACGGATTCATTTTTTGTGCTTTTGCTGGGTTCATAAATTGCGCCTTTCGGCAGCTAATTTTTAGGTAGCGCCTTAAGAAATCGTTACACCAGTCTCTACCTGCCAGTTTTTCGTTGACATTGAAGCAATGATTATTATTGTTTGCTTCGACAAACTCAAAAACATATGCCCTCAAGAGTTTTGGTGTTATTGGCATGCCAATGTCTGACAATCTGAAAATTCTTGATACCAACATTTGCTCCTGCTCACTAAAAAGTGCAGTTTTTCTTTCTAAAGAATTTTTCTGGGATTCTGTACACAAGTGATTTCGTAGATTTCTACGAGGAATTTTGTATTTTATGGCAGCTTCTCTTTGCGATGCTCCGTTTTGCACAGCTTTGAAAGCCTCCTGCAATTGACCTTCTGTCCAATTAGCTCTACTTTTTCCATTAGGAGTTACCATTTCCAAAGACAATATTTTAAATATATATTTTTTTAATAAATAGTATTTAAGTCTATAAAAATAAATATATAATTTTTTCTTTTAAAAAACAATATTTTATGAATTGATTAAAAAGTAAAAAAATATTTTCAAAAGTAGTAAAAGTATAAAATCTATAAATTCGACAACAACAAAAAACATTGTTTCGAAATTCGAGAACAACGTTTTTGTTATTAATACTTAACAATTTTATTTATTTACACTAAAGTTTGTTGTTTATTGTTTGTATAAATTACTTTTCTTAACTATTTCTTTTATTTACGCTAAACTTAAGTCAGTTTCACGTTGTTTGTATTAATTACTTTTCTTAATGATTTCTTTTATAACGCTAAACTAAAGTTTAGCGTATTTCTTTAAATATTACCGCTGACCTCGTGTTTGGGCCTTATTACCCAATTTTTAGTGGGCCTTATTACCCGCTTTGAACCTGTTACGTTTATCGATAAAGTATCCTTTTGTTTTAACATTTGCATAAATATTATATGTTGAGTAATGATAACGAATAAGTACTTAATGCAAATAAATGCACTTGAAAAAAATAGAAGCATTATAAAATATTTTAAAATGTTGAAACACATCTTAAAAATTAGACTTAAGCAATTTTTGACAAAAAACAACAAAGTAATCTTGCTTTGTCGAACGCGCGGTAAAGAAATGCTGATTTTTTTTGCTGCCACTGATAAAACCAGATAACCAGTGATATAACCAGATAATATTTTAATGTTGAAAAAAAGTTTTACAATTCATTTTTTCCCTAAGTTTGGATTAGTGGGCCTTATTACCCGCCGGGCCTTAATATCCACACCCACTTATATATATATATATATATATATATATATATATATATATATATATATATATATATATACATATATATATATATATATATATACAGACATATATATATATATATATATATATATATATATATATATATATATATATATATATATATATATATATATATATATATATATATATATATATATATATATATATATATATGTATATATATATATATATGTATATATATATATATGTATATATATATATATATATATATATATATATATATACATATATATATATATATACATATATATATATATATATATATATATATATATATATATATATATATATATATATATATATATATATATATACATATATATATATATATATATATATATATATATATATATATATATATATATATATATATATATATATATATATATATATGTCTGTATATATATATATATATATGTATATATATATATATGTATATATATATATATATATATATATATATATATATATATATATATATATATATATATATATATATATATACATACATTAGCTTATTATATACATACATTAGCTTATTTATAAACTTTATTGTTTTATTCAAAAATCCACACAAAAAATAAACTGTCGTTCACACAAAGTCCTTAATTCGTTTTAAAGCTAAATTTTACAATATATAACAATAACGGGTATTATTTCTAATCACTATGCTATGCATCAATGTTATTATTTTTACAGCAAATATATTATTATTTACAAAATGTTTTTATTAGGAATGAAATTTCTCTAACTGTATACTTTTTTTTACTAAGTTTGGATTAGTCGGTTAAGAAAATACTAATAAATATCAATTAGATGTTCGTATTAACCGCATTTACATGCTGTTGTGCAACCCAGATCAAACAATGAATTACTATCTGCTAAATCTCCAACGTGAAAATTTCAATAGCCAACTTTTGCACAAAACGAATTCTCTGTTTGAATTGAAATCATTTTAGTTTGTTACACAAAATTATTATAAATTCACTATTCTATTCCATTCTTGTATTTATAAGCTAAGAAGTATGACTACAGTTACTTAAGCAACATCAGCTTTTAAACAAAAATATTAAATATCATATAACCGAAATACTAGAATTATGATCAGATATCGATACGATCAGATAGTGTGACAACGTCAACTGTCTGGGTAGCTTTCGGAACATTAGTTCCTGAGACAACGTGATCACTAACCGAATGCATTGGAATATCTATCGATAGTGTCGTCGAATCATCGCTATTTCGAAGTTGACGAGGGTGTTGGGTGAGTCGAAAACTTGAAAGTGACGAAGTCGTTATAAACTGAACTCCTCCATTTGCAGATAACGTAACTGGTATAAGATTAGTACCTAAAAACAAAAAAAAAAAACAAATAAAAAATATTAAAAAACTTAGTCAATTCATTTGATACAAAAATTAATTTTAAAGTTAAATCATTAACTTCGCTTTTTCTCTCAAAACTGTTTTGCACAATGTATTATGGTATTTTTAAGTACATGGATGTAAACAACAAAATTAGTATGTAGAAAAGCGAAGAAACTGAGATTTTATTTCACACCTATTGACATGTTAACTTCAAATAGTTGGAGTAAACATTTCTAGCGGTAGCATGTTTGACGTCAACAAGCATAACAACAAGCACATCAAACTATGTTGTTCAACTGAACAAAGAAAAACTATGACTGCATAAAATAAAAAGAAAAAAGACCTTTGGTCGACTTCAGCACTCAGGATATGTTTTAAATATTTTGAAGGTGGCAAGAAAACTTGTGTGAAGAAGGTATTAAAGAAGGAATTAAGGTATCAACTAAAACTAATTAGTAAAACTGTTAAATCATTTGAGAAATTTATGAGAAAAACTCATAATAGTAAAAAATTGCCTTTAACAAAAAAAAAAAGAAAAAAAAAACAGTCAATAGAAAGTAAACTGAAAGAAAATGCTTCATTAAAAAGTAAGAGTTCTTAAACTTGAAAATATCTTTATTCACAAATTTTAAGAACTTTTAAGAAGAGCAATATCTTCATTTTTAATACTCCAACAATAAGCTCATGATATCAAACTGCTATCACAGTTTTTTTTATAAACATTTTTAACAATAAAGTTGAAGGTGAAGTGTTTTTCTATCTAGTTTATTACAGCTTTTATAGCTTACATATCCATTTTTTTGAAAAAACACTTTATACATATATTTTGCGTGGAGTTTTTTCATTGATGCTGAAATAGTGTACTTAACTAAAAATAAAACATTTCTCACTAGGAATGTTTGATCTAACTGTCCTTATTACATAGTTTTCTATAAATAACTGCTGTATTGTATTATATACAATATAAGTTAATAGATGTTGATTTATTATAGAAGGCAAAAATGTTATGTCTTATGACTATTCAGATACCTCTCTAGAAAAAATACTGTCAGTCATGAAGCCTCACCAAAGCATTTTAAAGAACCAACAAAATTATTTATAAATAAAATATATTTAAAAAACCAAACAAGAATATTTATAGAAATATATTTTATATATTTCATTAAATATATTTTTTAGTTTTACAATATCCTCTCAACAAGCTTTACTAATAACTCATAACTAAAATATTGTCAAAAAAAGTTTTTAAAATTCTGTGGAGATTTTTTTTTCTTTAATTTTTTAAGAGTTTAACCCCTGGTGACAAAAATTTGCCTCAAAACAAACACAAGCAGTAATAATGCAACAAAAAGTTTAATAAACAATAAATTAGTAGAACATATTAAGCATTATATTAGTTTTTTACTTTTCGTGACTGAAATAATGCTTTCTCGCCATTATGACGTGCTGCGTCAATACTTTTGTATACATGTTTGCACATGCCTTGTACAAGATTTTTATCAACTTTTCTTAAACAAGATTGAATTCTTTTTTGCAGCTGATCTTCATTTTCAACTTCTCAATTGTTTTCATACACGTAGCATTTAAGGATTAACCAGAAATCTTCAATTGGTCGTAATTTTGGGACAATGCCAGATTATCAACTTTTGTGCCATAACTGATATTTTTCTCATTAAGGTAATTGGTCACACTTCTTGCATAATGTGAAGAAGCCAAGTCAGGCCAGAATACATAATTACCACGACTGTGATGTTTGTTGATAAAAGAAATCAATCATTTAATGATGCAATCATTTTTGTACACTGTTTGGTTAATTGCCAGTCTCGCAGGAATAATAAATGGTTATGAGGGCATATGGTAATTCACACAAGAATTTTTTTTTCAAATATGCTTTTGCACTTTTATTTTACATTTTTTGGTGTTCCTCTGATTAAAATCAAGCATTAGAATTTTTATTCGTATGTTGAAATGTAAAACAAGCAAATTACATTAATTGAACAAGTGTACAACTATTGTAATTTGCATCATTCGCTAAAATGAAGAGCATTGTAGAGTATTTTGTTGCCTCTAATTACCCTGAATGAACCATCAAACATTATATGGCAAAGTGGAAGAACAATGAGCCAAAGACTCGTAAAAACCGTGACTTTTCATTGATTTATCGTCAATGAAAAGTCACAGTTTTTGAATTTGGGACAAATTCTTCCACTCTTCAGCTGCAACTGCATTAACTGTCTATCAGTGCGATCAGGGAATTGTTTTTTCTTAAAATAACAAATGTTTGTTTTGTTTTTTAATGTTTTTACAATGTAGGAATGATCACACTTGAATTTATTTACAATTATTTATTTAATATTACATTATTTATTGGCTCATTGTTCTTCCGCTTTGCCATATAACGTTTGATATATAATAGTTGTACACTTGTTAAATTAATGTAATCAGCTTCATTTTTGGATAACTTTCTTATTAATTAATCTATGTAAACAAAACTTTTAGTAAAAGATAACTAACACTTTATAAACAAAACAACTAGAAAAGTAAGACTGGATAACTAAAAGTTCAATAAGTTTTAGCTTCTCAAAGGTTGTGCCAAATTTTTGTCACCAGGAGTTAATATTTTGTCAGTGAAAATAAGTAATTATACAGAAGTAATTATCATCTTTATAAGATCAAGCTAGTAATTAAATAAGAATTGAAAAAAAAAACTATGATTTATGATTTTATTAAAGTTTTAGTTTTTGCACACACAAAAACCATACATCAAGTAAAATAATTATAAAGAGAAAGGTAAATTTCCAATTGTTCAAAATGTAAAAAAGGAAATTGCACATAAAATACCGCATTGTTTTACTGCCTTTTCATTTATGATTATTTATTTCTTAACTGTACTATCTTAGAAATATTTTAACTAAGGAGAGTGGTCAAAATAAAGTATATATATATATATATATATATATATATATATATATATATATATATATATATATATATATATATATATATATATATATATATATATATATATATATATATATATATATATATATATATATATATATAGAAAAACTCTCCTAAAACGAACATGGTGAGTGATGCGATCTGCTCCTCTAAACAGCTTCTTATGAGAGCTTTTGGTCAACAACCGTGCCTTTTAAAAAGCATTGCAATTAAATTAATTTTATTTTTGAGAGAAAAATGTAATTTTTTCAAGAACTCTAAATATGCTCTTGTAAACCGTTTTAGGAGAGTGTAAGCAAGAGGTAAAGCTCTCACTTTCTGCCGAAGCCTATATATATATGCACAGTACAATTTCTCTAATTTAAATCTCCTTAATTTGAAAACCTCCATAATTCGATTAAATACAAAGTCACCGTAAAATGCGCTAAAGAAACTTTTATATTTAACTTTCTATAATTCGATTCTCTATAATTCAAAACCTCCACAATGCGAATGGATTTTTTTAGACCCGTCAGTAAGATTCTCTCTGTAAATTCAACTTTTTAAACTGATGTGTAAAAACCTTGTTAAACCATCAAAATCTTTTTTCAAATTTTGAATGTTGTGAGTTTTTGAAAAAAGATCAGAGTATATTATCTTTTACTGTTTAAAAAAAATCATGCGTAAAGAAAAGAATTAAAAGTGGAAATAGAAAAGCTTTTATTGGAGGAAGAGTTTTCAAAAATAAAGAGGTTTCGAAAATTTTTGATATTCCACCAAACTTTCAACCTGGAAAAAGAGTAAAGATAAAATCTTTGACATTTTTTGTCAAAGAAATATAAAAATAAATGGGTGATAAAGCTGTACTTAAATGGTTCAAATCAATGAGAGCTGATAATGTACTAATTAGTGGTTTGCTGGTGAAATAAAAAGCTTTATATTTTGCGAAAGAGTTATGCTTCAAAATTGAAAAAATTGATCTTAAAGATATAAATCTATTACATATATTATATCTTTAGCTTTACAATGTCTTAAAACTTCAATAGAATAGTTATTAAATTATATATATATATATATATATATATATATATATATATATATATATATATATATATATATATATATATATATATATATATATATATATATATGTATATATATATATATATATATATATATATATAAAATTTGTTTTCTAATATTTGTTCTTCTAATTTTGATTTAAAACATTTTGGATTTAACTTGAATAAAATTTTGAAAAAAACCCTGAACTTTTTGAAATTTTATCATAAATATTTAAGTTCAAGCACTGTGTACATAATGGAGACATAAATAAAATTCATATAAAAGTCTTACATCTTCCAAGAATGATTTGACCATCTTGTAATGCTGATGTATTGATGGAACGTTGGTCTATTCTAGCATGGTCAATATTATGACTTCCATACATACCGTCACCTGGGGAAAAAAAAAAAAGTTAAAAATAAACAATATTGAATAAAGATGTCTTAATTTTTTTCTCAAACTCAAATATGACAAACAATGACAAACCAATATATCAAATAACAAACGATTTCATGTTAACTCAGCAATTTAATCAAAAGTAATATACTTTGTTAATAATTTACACAATGAAGATACTAATGATTATCCTGGAGAAACTTGGATAACTAGTTCGGAGAGGTTCACAAAATAATCAATCAAATTTAAAAAAATACTTTTTAAGCAGATTTATATTAAAACTAAAGCAATTAAAACCAAAAAAACTGTAATTAAATAATCAATTGTAATGAAAAATATATATTTAGAATAAATTTTTGATTGGAATTTAATTTTAATAGTCAAAAATATAAAAAGTGAAAAATTAATATGTATATATATATATATATATATATATATATATATATATATATATATATATATATATATATATATATATATATATATATATATATATATATATATATATATATATATATATATATATATATATATATATATAGTATATGGAACTCTGTGGAACTCTCTCTCTCTCTCCAATACCATCACACATTTTGCCATGATTAGTTGTAAAAATATTCCATTATACTTTTTGTTTAAATTAGTTTGACGCATGCTCAAAGTTTTCGCTATGAAGATAACTATCAAGACTCACAAAATTTATAATTATATTAATGTGTATTTGGTGATATTGGCTTATGGGGCAATCACAATTAAACACTCTGTAGTTGTTTTTTTTCCACATTTTTTGAAAAAAACAAATAAAGTATATGTTAATCTAGCCACTGAACAAGTAAATAAATAGTATTAATAAATAATAAGTAAATAAAAAAATTTTACAAAATAAAAATTTACTTCTATTGTTAAGATGCAGATGACTGTAGAATGGGTTCCTCTTTCAACCACCGTTCACTATTATTTTTCTTTTGAGGCATTGACATGCATAGCTTAACAGCAAACAAAACATTTTTGCTTATATAATTTTCTTCTCATGCTTGATGCTCAAGCTTTTCTCATAAATATTTGATGGGATATAGGTCAGGAGTTTTATTATTAGGTGTGAACCCATTTTTAACAGTCTCTGAAGTGCATTTATGGTTGTTAACTTGCTGGAAACACAAATGCTTAATCATTTTTGTTTAAAAATGGGGAAGTGTTTTTCATATAATTGGTATGGTATTTGACATTCATGCCTTTAATTTGAACTAATGGCTCTTTGAACAATCATTAAAAAAAAATTCATACAATGATGTTACCTCCTCTGTGTTTTATAATTAGTACAGTGTACCAAGGATCTTCTTTTTTTTAATTGAACAGCTAACATATTTATCAAAATCAGATAAAAACAAATTATCAACCGCATTTACTATTGAATTACAAAGAATTTCATTATACTCCTTGTGCTTTCCCATTTTTGAGTTTATCAATTTTCAATGAAATTTGCAACAAAATATTTTATCTTAGTATAAAAACTTATTAGAAAAATAATTCAAAAACTGCATGTAAAATAACTTTTTTGATAACTTTTCTGATAAAGTATTAAACTAAATCCAAATATTTTTTTAAATAAATAAACTTTCACCCGTTAAATATATATATTTGTATAAGTGTACATTCCACAAGCAAAAAATATTTTCTTTAAAAAAAGTTATTGCACAAAAAACAATGGTAAAAATCTTTTCATTGCTTCTGTAAAAAATTTGAATTATAACTCTAGATAAAGATTTATTAAACTTGTTAATATTTATGCAGTCTAAGCTATAGCTTTGGGTCTAATCTTGTTATATTAAACCTAGTCTTTGGGTCTAAACTTGTTTTATCAAACTAAGCCTTCGGGTCCAACCTTGTTTCATCAAGCCCAGTCTTAAATAGTCAAATATTAATCCTATTCATTTATCTAGGTCAAACTTAGTCTTCCAAGTCAAAATCACCACTTTTGAACGATGCAAACCACCTCCAACACATTTGTTTACATAGATTTGCATCTTGCACATATAGAAGTAAAGGAGTAAAATATCTCACAAAAGCATTATATTTGGTATCAAACTTGACATTTTTGAAAAAATAGAAAGTATTTTTTTTAACTAAATTATAATTTGGAAAATTTGTGATATATATTTGAAAAATACAAAAATTAATTGAAAAAAAAATAATCACAATACCTTTTGTAAAACACTACAATTCACACCCTCAACAATTAATTCACACCCTCGAAAATTAATTCAAACTCCCTCGATAATTTAATAATTTTAGTTACAATGTAAATATAGCATATTTATAAAGCTACTTATATTGAGAATTTAAATCACTTCTTTAAAATTTCTTTAAAAAATTTCTTCAGAATAATTTACTCATTGAGTATTTTAACTGTGCAAATTGATTTTGAGTATTCTAACGCTTCCTAAAAAATAATTTAAAAAGTTTGAAAACCTGGAAAAATGCTAAGTCAATATGACTTACTCTAATGTATGTTAATGAACAACCTAGATAACTTAAACATAAATAAATTCTTAAGAAAATTTTTACCTTTTAAAAATAAAATGAAGCATAATTAAATATAAATATAAATCATTTTAAAATAAAACATAAATATAAAATCATTTTAACAATAAAATGTATTAAAAGATAACAAATAGCATATTTCTTGAAATTTTTTGTTACAATAAAGTTTTAATTATTTAAGTGTATGATGTATACAGTTTAAACGTATGTATACCAACTTTTTAATCAAACCCCTTTAAAATTAACCAAAGCATTCTTTTGCATAAACCTCCAAAATCTACTTTAGATTTTCAATGATTTTCTCAGTTTTTCAATGACCTTAAAAGCTCCAAAATTTCTTTGGCACCAATCACTTACAAACAGTTCAAAACAAGCATTTTTCTTTTAATAAGCAGAAGAATAGTAAATATGTTTTTTGACTGGTTATCTCTCAATTTACAAAATTACATGTTATCTCTCAGTTTACAAAAATACATCTAAAAGTCAAGACTTAAGTCAATTTTTGACAAGTAAAAATTTCTAGTATAAATTATGCCAAAAGTATTTTTAGAAGTAAAACGTTTTCAAGTATTAAGCAATATATGTTTTTTAAATATAAATTTTCCAGGCAGCTGGTTTTTCTACTTTGACATTTGCGCTTAGATAATTAATTTTTACTTTCTTTTTAAAAACTTTTTTTTATGTTCCGAAATATGTTAGGGAGTCTCAGAAGTAATGTTCACATTACAAATAATATGCATACATATACTTAGTTTATGTATAAATTATGCTATTTGTTAAACTATTATATTTTATAATACTGCAAAAATATAATCAATACTGCGTAAAACTATATCAAAAACTAAAAATTAAAAACTTTTTTGAGTCATTTTTTAAACAACTTACTTGGCTTTTTATGTATTAAAAAATCAAAACAGAAACTTTAAAAACTTTATAGATAAAAGTGATACAGTAATATCAAAATCCTACTTTGCCCTTGCGAAGCTGCTACCTCTGCTAGAGTGGCTACTGCTTCTGTAGCTTCTGAATGAGTTGCATTTTCAGAAAGAGTTGTCACTGCTCCAGAAGCATCAACTTGAATGATTGAAACTGTACCATCTGCGTTATTAATTGTGTGGACAAGATGTGGATACTGTGAAGTAAATACTTGGGTAGACTGTTGATGTTGATTAATGCTACTATCTTGTGTAGAAAAAGCATCTAATAGTTCTTCCCTTCCATGATAAGTATAGCAGTTTTGTACTACTCTTCTTAAAGCGTTTGTCCATGAAATTTCTTTTTTCTCTTCATCAGAGCGCACATCGCTACGTACATTTGCCCACGGAACTTCAGCTGGCCACCATGGTGGTTTTGTATTATCGCGGCCCCACCCTGGCTTACCACGACCTGTAGAATACTTCAACATGATTGGGATGAATGCGCGAAGTTGGGCTTGTGTCATCTTGTCAACAGGAGTTGGGATTCCTTCAATTACCTTTAAACAAAACAATAAAAATAATCTAAAAAATAAATAATAACAAAACTAGAACTGATAAATCAGAGAAAATAATATTAAAAATTAAATAATTTTCACTTAAATTGACATCAAAATAAATTAAACACTAGACAATACTTTAGCAAACAACAAATATTAAACTAAAAATTCTATAAATTATACCAATGTAAATAACCAGATAAGGTTTAATCACAAACACTGTATTTAATTGCTTTTTAAAAATAATTACTAAAATTATTTGTTTGAAATTTTAAAAATGAATGCAATATTAGTTTTTATCTTAACAAAAAAAAATAAAAATAAAAAAAAATTACAAAATTCAAGTTATTTTATTTTATTTTAATTTTTTTTAAAGTAGCATTAACTCCACAACTTTACTTGTGTTTTTTGGAAATATTAATTCAGAAATCTCTATATTTTTCTACACTAATTGCACTTTTTTTTTTATACTACACCATTATTTTTTTTATACTACACCATTATTTTTTTGAAATAGTAGACAAATACTGACAAAATTAATCAAGTTGGTTGCTTGGGCTTCGAAATGAGTGCAAGTTTTTGTTTTTCTAAAAAATTTAGTTGTGTATAGATTTGATGTCAAAGTTTGATTTGTTATGAAAGTTTAAAAACCACAAAGTCCTCCACTTTACATCTTGTCGGATTATCTCTTACTCTTATTTGCTCTCTCTATATCTTTCATTTGTATGTTATATTCTATTTTTAATAAGGACCCATACATTTTGATAAGTTAAACTAATTTGCCTTTTTATTAATATATTTTAAATTTCCATCACTTCTGGTTTTCTTTTTATAGTTTTGTTATAATTAAAATGTTTAATAAAATTTCAGTTGATTTCGAAATGTAATGTAACATTTTTTATTTATAATTTGTATTTAATTTTTCAGACTTTTACTCGTTATTGCAAAAACTTATTTTATTGCAAATATTGATTAAGTAGTTTTAAAGAAAATTTAATTTAAAAATTTCAACCAAACATGATGATATAACAGAGAATAACAAATAAAAAAAATTTAATTCTAAACTAGATAGATTTAAGAAATAATATAAGATATTAAATAAGTTTTCTTTTCTTATCATATAAATGTTATCCTGTAAAACAAAAAGCTTTTACTGGCATCAACCATATTGGTAATTTTCCGTAAATAAATCTACTAATAATAATAACCCAGTAATTAGTTTTAGTACTATTTATATAGGTATTATATGTAATATATTTTTTACCTAACATATGTGTATATGTATATATTTTATATAATATATATGTATATATTTTTGAAAGAAATAAAATCAATAGAAATTAAGCAGCAAATCAAATCAAAATCAAAACAAAATCAAATCTGAATAAAGTTATTACATCAATACGTTAAAAGCTGCTGGAAAAATACTATTTTTGAGAGATTTTTTTATACTATTCGTAATCGTATATAGGTTTAGTTTGAGTTACTAGTTTTAGAAGGAATGTTAGAACACTATTGGGACCAAGGCTTTTATTATTTTTAAGAGTATTTTTTAGGAGATTCAACACCTCATCTTCAGTCATGGGATTAATGAAAAGAGAATTAGTACTAGGTATTTTTAAAAAAATTGCTAAAAACACATTTAGAAAGAACAATATTTGTAGATGGTTTGTCTTGAATAGTCTTAAAATAGTTATTAAATATATAATCTGAGATAATATTTTCATTGATTTTGAGACTAAATGACTTAGTATTACTAGAAGGTTTGATGTTAATGATTTCCTTAATTTCTTTCCAAGTATTCTTTACGATATTGAGTTTTTATTAGAAATAAGTTTAAGAATACCAGAATTTATCCTAAATTTAGATTGAAGTTTGATTTGTTTTTTTTGCTAATTCTTTGTAAGGAGCATATCAGTCTAATACTTTTTCAAATGTTTTAAGGAAAAAATTTATAGATTCATTTAAGTTATCATCATCTTTTATGAGAAGCTTTTAGTTAACATCAAAAATTTCTTAAATAAAAAAATCGGAATCACATATTTTAAAGCTTTTTTTAAATATTTTAACTTTTTTTTTTAAGGTTGGATTATTAGAAACACAAATAAATTTTGTGCGCCCATACTACTAGCCATGTGTCAGAAGAAAATAAATTCATGAAAATGTTATCATTAAGGAATTTTTGCAGTTAACATGTTGGAAGAATTATAGTTGGAGATAAAGAATGAGAGTATGAAGATTCAAAATAATTAGAAATGATATGTGATTCTCTATATTTCAATAAATCTTTGTTGAAATCTACCATTAGTACAATATTTTTTGTTTCATGACTTTTAAAGGAGAAGAATAAAATTGATAGATAAAAATTCAATGATGTTTAAAGAGGGATGCAAATATATGCACCCAAAAATGGTATTACTCTTAAGTGGATTCATAACTTCAACAAAAACAGACTCTAGAAATTTGGAACCATAAATTGGGAGATTGCTATGAATTTTGCAATTTAGTTTTAAAATTAAGTAAAGAAGCGCACCACCTTTTTTTGAAATTGTTGGACAATGCTCATTGCTATATCCTTGAATAGTAATGTCAGTTATATTAGAATCTTCTGAATATATATTAGACTCATTGATATGAAATAGGAGAGAAGAAATATTTATAGAACCATTGATATGAAATAGGAGAGAAGAAATATCAAGACAGTGATAATTTTCTGTACAAGAATAAATAGATTTATTTAGTTCATTAATGTCAAGGTACTTGCATTTAGTTATAGGATTCAACAGATTGTTTATGTTTTCAAATAAGTTTTTGAGGTAATCAGGGGGTTCGTGAGATTTTATTTTATAAGGAAAATTCTTGCAGGAAAGAATTAATCAAAGTTCCAGATCATAAAGTTTGCCAAATGGCATGTTGTTTAATAATCAGTTAGGGCAAAACCATTTAGAAGTTTCATTGGAAAGCAGATTGTAATTGGCATACTCAATTGGAAAACATTTTAAATGAATCCAAAAGGAGCGATAGTCACATTGGATGGCTCTATGATTATTATTTTTTTTTTATTTTCATGAAAAATTTTTATGATTTAGACAACAAACCATTGATAGAATAGAAAATATAGAAAATCAAAAAGATAAAATAATCAAACAATAAACAGTTTATGAATAAATAGCAACAGTAATTAGTAATAGTTAACCTAAAAGTTGATTATATTATATATTATAGAATTGGTAAATAAAAAGTATAGATTTATACTATTAACTAATAACAAAGATAAAATAATAAACAATACAGATAAAATTAAAATAATATTATTCTACAATAAATTAATGTATAAGAATATATAACAAAGATAAAAATATAATAATGATCAAAAAATATATAATAAAAATTCTTAAATAGATAATCTAATGATAAATAATAAAATAATAAGAGATATTTTCAACTGAAATATGACACAGACAAATCTTATGTAGAACTAAAGTAAATATAATTAACGATAAATGATTAAAAATAAAATGTGAGAAAACGAAAAATAAAATTAGTAAGTTAATAGTAATAAAAATAGTAAAAAATAATAACTAGAAATTAAATAGTAAAAAAAAAATTAAAAAATTAAAAAAAAAAAAAAAACCAATCTTCTAATTCTCTTTAAATTTGTTTTTGTTTGTTTACTTTTTTTCTTTTTTTTTCTATCCTTTTCCTTTGTTTACTTACTTTTCTATTTTTTAAATAATTTGAAGTTCTTTTTTTTATTTTTTATTTATTTTCTTCGGCTGTTTTTTTTATCATTAATTATTATTTTTAAAAGATTGTTTGTTACAAGAACTTTGTAATCTAACATTTAAAAGAAAATTTATATTAAAAACATATCTGTTTTACTTTCTTCTTTTTCTTAAATTTTTTTTTACCATTTAAAAAATCTGTCCGCTATTTGCAAAGACCAACCACAATATCCATAATATTGGACTGCAACAGCTTGCAACTTGAGACATCTTGAGACAAAAAATTTATTTGAATGAGTAAAACCAATAAATAAATCTTCATGTTGTTTTATAAGGTATTGGTGTTTAGGAAAGGGGCTACGTGGCCACTAAACCACCCCACTCTAAACCTATATTTGCTACATTTATATTAAATTAGTCTAATAAAATATATTATTGTTAGAAAACGTTTGACATACAAGAAGATTTAATATAAAAAATACCAAGGGGGGAAGTTCATGCAAATCAGGATTGTGATGTTGAATTGATGGAGCCTGTTGCGCTAAAGAGTTTTCTAAATCTTCTAAAATAAGATTACGCCGATTTCGAATAATTGTTTCCAAAGGAGCAGCACCAAAACATTTGAAAGATGCTCCCATCTTTCCTACAAACATAACAGCTTTAAAAAGAAAGAAAAAAAAATATCATAAATAAATTGATTTAAAAAAGGAAAGCTATATACACCTTAACTACAAACCCTATATCTCCAAATCAGGAACTTTTATAAGTAATATAAATATATATATAAATATATATATATATATATATATATATATATATATATATATATATATATATATATATATATATATATATATATATATATACATACATATATCAATGCAGTAGTGGTGTAGTGGTAGAGCACTTGCCCATAAGCAAGAAGCTCTGAGTTCGATCCCCACCATGCCCCTGGTAGTATTGCGTTCCACTTGTTTCTCTGCACAGTGGCCTTGTTCGTAGAGGTTCGGTTTTGGAGTTATAAAGTTGAGAGAGGGTTGTAACCACAAAAGTAAGCTCCTCTACTGTAGTGGCCTTATTGGCCTTGGGGAGATGAATAACTAAATATATATATATATATATATATAATATAATAATATAATTCAACCTGGGCTACAAACAACAATACAAGCTTGCTGTCCAACACGTGTAGTATATTCTGTCATCAGTTGCTTTAGTTTTCGTAAAAGTCTGGTGGCTTGACGCTTACGAATTGATGGATTTGTTTCAAATGAAAAATGTTTCTTTCTTCTTTTGCCAGTAATTATAGCAGCAGCTGCAGCCATACCTATAACATAAAAAATTTAAGCAAAAAAGATATTTATCAGACTTTTAACTTGAGTGAATCAATTTAATTTTAAATTTAAATTTTAATGAAATTAACATTTAAATTTAAAAAAGTGGATGATGGCTATAACCATGTAACCAAGTAAGAAATTTGAAAAGAATTTTGGAAAACAGCTTGCAGTCTTCTCTGTTTTTCCAGTGCTTTTATGCTGAAATCTTTTCACACGCCCGCAAAACTTTGTAGAGCCCTTAAAAAAGCAATTGCCAAAAAGATAATATTTTGCCTTAAATAGCAACAAAACTTTTTGTTCATTTATTCAACTTTTATGAAAAATGGTTGTTTTTTTCCAGTTTTTTTTATCTAGTATTTATTCAAAGCATTTTTTTTACCATTTTTATTTGAATTTATATAGAGAAAAAAATAAATTTTTTAAATTGCGCAGGCTAACTTAAAAATGACCATCATGCCAGCACTTTTTTGTGCGCTGGCATTAAATTACAATATGTGGCTTTGTTCTAAGAACCATTTTTTTGAAAACTTATAGAAACTCACAACTCTGTATGAAAAAAATATTAGAAAACTTCTCATTTTGAGTAATATCTTGTGGGAGCACAATAAGTTAAAAGTTTTAACTTTTTAACTTAAAACTAAATATTTTTGAAGTAATTTCTTTTTTATTATTTTAGTTCTAAATTTAGTATAGTCCTGGTCATGAAAAAGAATTGTTTTTATATTGGGTAAGAGAGGCTCTAAGCATTGTAAAGACAACATACTTAGGGAAGAATAACTTTAAAATTTAATTGTGGGTAAGGATAAGAACTCATAAAGGATAACAGGTTAATGTCATGAAGGGCACTTGGCCCATTCAAAAAAATTGTGAAAAAAAAAAATGTTATGACACATATTCTGCCTCAATCAAAGTAAAAAAAAAAATACCAATCGGACCAGCAGCAGCCAACTGAGCTGTTACATCATCACCAATATCATCAGATACAACACCAACTAAAGAAATGTCCAAAAAAATAAACTTTAACAACTAATTCTAATAATTTAATTTAGCTAAGAATTTAATAACGGAGAAAGTTAACAAATAATTTCTCAGAGCAAAAATATTTAAAAAAAAAATTTTTTAGTTGATGATAAATCATAATAGTTTTGAGAGTTTTGAGTCTTGTTACTGTCATAGAGAATGTTTACAGATCTCCATTTTTGAACACATAAAACACAAAAAAAGTCATTTTTTAGTACACATTGATGATAAATCATAACAGTTTTGAGAAATATTGTCTTGTTACTGTCATAGAGAATGTTTACAGATCTCCATTTTTGAACACATAAAACACAAAAAAAGTCATTTTTTAGTACACATTGATGATAAATCATAATAGTTTTGAGAGTTTTGAGTCTTGTTACTGTCATAGAGAATGTTTACAGATCTCCATTTTTGAACACATAAAACACAAAAAAAGTCATTTTTTAGTACACATTGATGATAAATCATAACAGTTTTGAGAAATATTGTCTTGTTACTGTCATAGAGAATGTTTACAGATCTCCATTTTTGAACACATAAAACACAAAAAAAGTCATTTTTTAGTACACATTGATGATAAATCATAATAGTTTTGAGAGTTTTGAGTCTTGTTACTGTCATAGAGAATGTTTACAGATCTCCATTTTTGAACACATAAAACACAAAAAAAGTCATTTTTTAGTACACATTGATGATAAATCATAACAGTTTTGAGAAATATTGTCTTGTTACTGTCATAGAGAATGTTTACAGATCTCCATTTTTGAACACATAAAACACAAAAAAAGTCATTTTTTAGTACACATTGATGATAAATCATAATAGTTTTGAGAGTTTTGAGTCTTGTTACTGTCATAGAGAATGTTTACAGATCTCCATTTTTGAACACATAAAACACAAAAAAAGTCATTTTTTAGTACACATTGATGATAAATCATAACAGTTTTGAGAAATATTGTCTTGTTACTGTCATAGAGAATGTTTACAGATCTCCATTTTTGAACACATAAAACACAAAAAAACACAAGAGAACATATAAATGTGATTTTCAATAAAGATCCCATAAAACATTTATACCAATCTGGCTAGATTCTGATAAATAGCATATTTTTTTCACTTTTGCAAGTTTTCTTTTTAAATTGAAAGAAAGTCTTAATATTTTTAAAGAAGTTAAATAAGAGCATAATTTTTCAAATTAAAAATATACTTTTGTGTTAATACTTTTGTGTTAACATTTTATGGGAAGGAAAAGGAGGATTCACCCCCTATTATTTTATTGACAAAATCACCTCAGTGTGTTTAGCATAACTTTTATAAATTTAACTAAATGTTAAAATAAAATATTATAAAAATCATGCCTTTATAAACAATTGAGCATAAGAATTTCAAAATAATACACCAAAAAATTTTTTTAAGCTTCATGTATACCAAATCTGTACTTTCATTTAAATTTAATGAAAATAACCCAGTAATTAAGGAGCACAATTTCAATAATAACCATATATAGTATGGAATCTTAATTTAACTTCTTCAGTTTTAACATGAAAACTTTTGCATTATAATACTTAATAAAATACAAAAAAGTAACAAGTTATAAATTTATTAATTATAGAAATTCAAAAAATTGAAACTTTTAGTTTAATTTTGCCAATCAAAACTATTTGTTTAACTAATATTTGCAAGTGTTATTTAACTACTTATGAAAAATAAAACAAAAAATTAATACTAAAAAAAATTTACTTGTTGTTGTTGTTAAAAGATCAGAATCATCAAACGATGCAGATTCAGGTGAAGACGGTTCATCTGACATATCATCAGACATGGAGCCAACATGATGATGCCCCATAGAAAGAGAGTTGCTTCTTTGAATATTTCCATGTACTTGTACATGAGTCATATCTTCCAATTTAACCGTAGTATGCTGATGAATACGCTGGTCCATGACTAAACAAATTTACATTGGTTAGTATTTCATCCTTATTCAAATTATATTTAAATAAGGATGAAATACTAAGTGGCGTAGGAAAGTTTTCAAATGTTTGAAATAACCAACTTATAAACAACAAGAATATTCCAAATTTTTTTACGTTCATATGTATGACAAAAAGATTCTTTAAAAAAAAATTACTGTAATAGGAGAATGCGAGCAAGAAACCCTAAAATCTTAGCCTAAACCCTAATATATATATATATATATATATATATATATATATATATATATATATATATATATATATATATATATATACATATATACGCTTTAGTAATACACATATATATATGTGTGTGTGTTTATATATATAAATGTATGTATGTGTGTATATATATATATATATATATATATATATATATATATATATATATATATATATATATATATATATACACACACATATATATATACACACATGTATATATATACACATATATATATATATACACTTACTAAAGCGTGTTTTGATAAGCATTTACTCACTTTTTCTGCTTACCTTAAGCTATACCATTTTTTTCGAAAAAGAAGAAGAAAAAATAAAGAATGATGAATGAAACGATTGCTTTCCCATTCCAAACCCTCAGTCGATGTAGCATCACTCCACTGCAAGTCAGGCTATTTTTCAGTCGATGTATGTGCTGAAGCCCCCAGCAGCAGGCTATTTCAGTATGATTTCAGATTGCTTACAATAGTACGCAATATTATTTGTATACACATATATGAATATATATATAAATATATATTCATATATGTATATATATAAATATTTGTATCAATAAGCTTTCTTTTTATGATGTATCTGGAAACATCTTTAAGATTATTGAATCCTTCCTTTCCAATCGTAGTATAAAAGTTTTCCTTGACAGACAGCACTCTTCATCTTATTCTGTAACTTCAGGGGTTCCTCAAGGTTTAATCCTTGGCCCTATAAATCTTTTTAATTTACAACAAAAATCTTCCAGGTATTCTCACATCATCATTAAGGTGGCATTGTTTGCTGATGATACTACCATTTATTCTTGTAATGATAAGAAGCCAACTCTCTCTGATTGCTTGGAGGGGGCATTTGAGCTTGAAAAGGATCTCACTTCTGCTACAGCATGGGGCACACAGTAGCTGGTGAACTTTAATTCAGATAAAACTCAATTTTTTTCAGCCAATCGTTATCACAATAACTTAGACCTTCTTATATTTATGAATGGTAATGTACTTGATAAGCCATCTACTCTTCATCTTCTAGGATTAACTCTTACTTCTGATCTTTCTTGGAAACCTAATATTAAATTCGTTGCAAAAACGCATTGTAAACATAGTTGGACCTGCTCTTGTAGCCAACCTTCAACCATTATTACATTGTCGCAATGTTGCTTTTCTTTCTCTTTTCTAAAAATACTATAATGGGCACTGCTCTAAAGAGCTAGTGTCTCTTGTGCCATCTACTAAAATTATCTTGTGTTACTCGTCATTTAATTATGTCTCATCCTTTTTCTGTGACTGTTCCCAAGTGTTCCAAAAACTCTTATTCTTCTAGTTTTTTTCCTCGTTCTTTGGAATTGGCTTCCTTCATCTTGCTTTCCTGATTCATATAAATGGCAATCTTTTAAGTTGTCTGTCAATTGTTATCTTGCTCTACAATCTTTATTTATCAAGCAGTGAAGAAGTGGAGTTTAATCTTTAAAAAAAAGCAATTTATTGTGATACAACAAAAAGCAAACTGATTAATTATTGAGATATTTATCCACAAATTAGTAGGCTGCTACAAAGAAATTTTCTAACCACCTCTGGTACTTAATTACCAAAACTGGTTCTCTTGACATTTTGATAACAATGTTTCATCAAATATGGATTAAGTTTTACTCTACAAATATAAAAAAAAAAAAAACAGAGAAAAAAACAAGAGATACATTTTTCCATATAAAGACTCAAAAAAATTTATATAAAAATGTAATGTCTTTTCTAATGCATTTTAAAATATTCCAATGCTGATCCTCATTGAAACGCCAGTAATAATAGACGCGACTCTGAGGAGATGGTTATTACTTAATCACTACACAAATTATGTTTACACGTTAGGATTAGTTTTTTTTCCATTATTATATGCCTTTCATTGTTGTTATCATATTTTTTATTTTGTGATCGGTTTTTTGTTTTATAAGTTTTTGTCTGGTGATGTATATCTTCGCTCATTTTTTTAAATTTATTATTATTGTTGTGGGTGTATAGCCTGTCTTATTTATTTTTAAATATTTCTCTATTAATCTTTATTTTTGTCTTGACAACTGTCAAAATATGCTTTGTCTAATAAATAATTTAATAAATAAATATAAAAGTTTACTAAATTTTGAATCTTATCTCTGAAGTTAGGCTCGAGAGACTTTTGAAAAATCTTCAACAGCCTCATTTACAAGGGTAAGTCTAACATTCCATCTCTCATTTACGGGACTGATCTTATTACCTCTCCCCAAAGATAAGGCAGAACTATTTGTAAAAAACTTTTCTTATAATTTGACTCTTGAATCTTATGGTCATCATCTTCCTACCATTCCAATTAAGACATTCACTTTAGCTTTGATTGCTAAAGCCTTATTTCAATTAAACTTTTTCACAGTTTGTGGTCCAAACAATATTCCTGTCATAGTCTTACAAATTTGTTCTCCATAACTCTCTTCAACTCTCTCTAAATTATTTAATAAGTGCTTGGCTGAGTCTTGCTTTCTTGCCTGCTGGAAAATGACATCTGTGAATCAAAATCATTGTAAACATTTTCAAAAACATTGTACACTTAGTTTTTAACTTAAGGGGAGAAAAATAGTGTTTTTTTGTGCTTCAAAAAACATGGCACCCTGTAATTAGGTTTCATGAAAGTCTTTATATATAAAGACTTTCATGAAACCTAATTAAAGCAAAGAAACAACACCAAAATATTTGCGTATTATTTGTTAAATCTAACAAAAGAAATATGAGAAAAAAACTATTCACTATTTTTATACGAGTTATACTCAGTATTCTACTTTTCAGTAGAATTTACTTTTTCTAGCAAGTTATAATTGTTTAAAATTTTTTTATAAAAAAGTGAGCATGTAATGCTAAAGCTCAACTTGCAGTACAACAATGCACGTACTGTGAACTCTTTCAAAAGTCCTCAGTCATCTGAAAAAATATTTTTCATGATTAAAAAAATACGCTCTACAGGTGCAGATATTCCTGGCAAGCACTAAAAGTATTCAATAACTTTTATCAGATTAGGTAAACCAATTTTTTTTATTGAAAATGCTTGAACAATTGAATCCATTTGTCAACATAAGCAATTTGGATTTTCAATAAACTCCATTCTTCCTTTTTTGATGTAAAAAATGTTTTTGCACTTGACATCTTATCAAAATAATCAATATTTATTTCTTGTTGATCATCTGAACCATGAATATTGTTTATAGCTTCAGTAGATTTTTCCATGCAAATATATCAGCCCCACCAAAATTATTTTCCTACTGTTCAATATAAGAGATACATTGTTTATAAAAGGAATTTACATCTGTTATAAATCTGTTAACACCCTAGGCACTAAATTTTTTAAGCAACTGTTGAGCTCCTTGTGGGACAAAATTACTATTCATTTTTCAAGATTAGATTTTAATTTTTTTAGTTCTAAAGTAAGGTCTGTTGCATTTTATTTTTTTCATAACTAATACAGTTTTCTTAAAATTATTTAGCTGACCATGCACAAACCAGAAATATAACTCACCTGTTTCACTTTCAAAAAATGCTTGCAAAACACGTGGACAATTTTCTTTAGAAACAAAGTATGACTTCAGGACCTCAAACATATATGAAATTCTTTTGACTGTGGCTAACAGAGAAAGAAATCTAGTATTTCCATGCTGCATTATTTTTTTATATTCCATATCTACAAAATCACAAAATTCCTATAACTCAGTTACTCGAACTGTGTATACATGAAAATACTTATATATTTTCATAACAAGAGCATTAAGTTCAATTGGAAGACCATCCACAGCATATTGAAGTGTATTGTGCACAATATGTGCACCACAACCAATGCCAACAAAATTTACACCAAGTTCTTTTTTAAGCCTGTTGTAAACATTATCTTTACCTTTTTATGCACTCCACCAAAATTTGTGTTGCAATTGTCAGAACAAAAAGCAGCTATTTTTTATTAACTTCATAACGCTGCAATGAACTTATTAGTCAATATTTTAGATGTTTCACCATCAGCAAAATCTAGAAGTTTTTCTTTGACACCTTCCAGTGGTAAAAAGGACCTAACTGGTGATAGTTTTAATTCTCTTCTATTTGATATGTCATTAGAAACACTTGCAAAACATGTCTTATGTGAGTCATCGTGTAACTCTTTTACAGATAAAGGTGCCAGAACATTTAAAATAATTGCTTGACATTTGGTTCTTGCAGCATAAAATTTCAGTACAGACCTAGAAAGTAATTGTTACTATTTGTATTAGTATCAAAATAATGACTTTCAATATCTGCTTTTTTTTTAAATTCAAAATCATGAATTTTGTTTATGACAAAATGAAACAAAAAATTCATTCTTTCTGAAAACCAGACAAAACAAAAACCGTTGGGATGCTGGAACAAATGACATAAAATCGGAACAATCCCAGTCAAAACAGGATATATGGTAAGCCTTTCTATATATATATATATATATATATATATATATATATATATATATATATATATATATATATATATATATATATATATATATATATATATATATATATATTGAGTTATTGATACAAGAGGGGAGGGGACATTTATTATTTTTTAGAAAACTTTTTCCACTCTAAGCTTACTGAGACCTCCCTGTTTATTAATTTTTACTAGTTATCAAAAAAAAGTTTATATCTCACTGACAGATCTCAACAGGTATAGATTGGTAGTTCTTTATCTGATCCGATTCAAATCA